AAGCTGACGGAACCACGCTGGGGTTCGTACGGGGCGAAGGTAGGTTGCTGTTGCTGATTTCCTCGCGCGTAGGATGAACCGTCGAGGCTTATCGGTGTCACATCGTTGTTGTTGTTGTTGTTGCTGTTGTTTAACTGCGCAGGTGCCCCTTGCTGGTGTTGTTCGTAGAAGGACATGAAGGAGAAGAACTTCTCCATCATGCTTGGGTCGAAGCCCGCGGCTTGATTTGCGGGGGTTTCGGTGGACCCAGCTGCTGGTCTTGTTGCTGTGCCCTCCTCTGACTATAGGCCAGAGGCAGGAGGTGGAGTAGGAGTAGTATCGGGAGAGCCGTTAGAGGAGCTTCTCTCCTTCTGTGTTGCCATGCCTTCTGATGTTGTAGGTGTCTTGATAGTAGTTGAGTTTGCCCTGATAGCTCTCATACCATGTTGGGCTGAGAAAGGCCCTTAGCAGGGCCCTAGATATCAGACTTTGGAGTCTGATTCAGAGTCCGTTCAGACTTTTTTTTGTAGCCTAGTCTGAACTCAAAGAATTTTTTTAGGGACCCTGTCTGATTTTCCAGAGTTTTTTTACCTGACTTGTCTGAAATTTCAGACTACTTTGAGTAGTGTACGCTGACCCTCAGACTTGTATCGGGGGTGCACTCTGAAACCGCTTATACAGGGGTTTGGGCCTGCCTGGCGGCGTGTAGGCTTATCCCCGTCAGTCACGGGCGGGAACCCAGAAATTTCGCCACCGCGGCACCGCACAGTCGCGTTGGTACAGAATTGCTGTGATCAACACCAATTCCAACCAATCGCGGCTGCGCACCAGGCAGTGTTGGCAAGATTCCTTGCCAAAACTTAGCTCGCAGCGCGGTGCACCAACGTTTGACACCACGACCACCCACCACACCTCCCCTTCATTGTTGCCAGCGCATAGCTCGCAGGGCGCTGCCACTCTCACTTCACCACATACATCCACCCCACCCCACCTTCCACGTTGCCTACGCATAGCTCGCACCGCGCTGCTACTCTCACGTGACCACATCCATCCACCCCATTCACCCCACCTTCCCACCATTCACGCCCAGGTGCCGTGCATGCAGTGACCACCTGGGGGTTGAGAGGTCCTTATGACCTCTCATCTTCCTCTTCGTCACCGTGCTTGCCAGGCTCTCTCACGTCTTTCCGTTTGCCTGGCCTGAAACTAGTGTAGGAGCCCTTGTTTCAGCCTCCCTTTTCCGAGCTCGCTACACCACTGCTCGGCAGGCTCAATGGCTGCCTCAGAAGCTGTCGATGATGGGCCCGACGAGGAGGATGATGCTGATGTTCGCCCAGCTTCGGACCCACTCACCGGTCTAGACTTCCTTAGGTCTCTCCTACCGAAACATAATCCACAGCAACCTAAACCGTCGCAACCCAGCTCTATTCGCCCATCGATTCCCGCTGCCTCTGCTGCTCTGCACGAGGCCGTCGCTGCACCACCGACAAACCTGCGGTTCCGTCAGTCCACCATTGCGTGGGCAACACCACCTCCTCCATCGACCACTGAGACTCCTGCCAGTGATGCATCTCTCATGCAGGACAACTCGAAGCCCACGCAGGCTAGCAAAAAGCCCAAGGCCGACACGCCTGAATTGAAATACGAAGATGCGCATGCGCGGTACAAATCCAAGTGGTCCACCGATTTCAGTTGGCTTGTCCTAACTCAAACCTCCACTGGTGCTCCTTCTTTCAAGTGCAGTATTTGCTTGGAATTTTCAGGACTGAATGGCAAGTGTGGGCGGCGTACCGAGGGAGCAACCGACGTGCAGACACAGTCCTTCAAGAAGCACGAAGGGACGGTGAAGCACCGGTTTGCTTTTCAGCGCCAGGAGGACTTGCTCCAGAAATACGGGCGCCAGCAGCGCATCGACATGCACCCGAAGGCGCAGGACTTGGAGATGCTGCAGGTGTCTTCGCTCGTGGACTCGCTGTACTTCATGGGAAAGTCCAACGAGCCCATGGACTCGTGGATCCGGTTGGTGCGCTACCTGGCGAAGAAGAAAGTGCCCGGGTTTCCTGCGGAGGGCTACGGCACGTACTACAACACGTAAGTAGTGTCTGTAGCATGCCTGTTGGTTTGTTTCTGTTTGACTGTCACTAACGACTACGTTTTCTTTGTGTAGGTACGGATTTGGAGAACTCACCCAAGCAATTGCGACGTGGCTCCAAACAACGCAACTTGAGCACCTTCTGACGAGCCCATTCATCGGGATTACACTGGACGAGAGCACCGACCGTCGCCGCGGCAAACACATGATTGTGTTTGCCACCTTTCTCCGCGAGGGACAGGTTGTCACGGAGTTTATCGCCCACTTGACTGTTGAGAAGGCTGACGCTGCTTCTTTGTGCAGTTTGTTGGTTTCCCACCTCAGGGCTGTCGGCGTTGACCTGCGGCGTATCTCGGGAATGAGCACTGATGGCGCGTCTGTGATGGTGGGGAGTCAAAACGGTGTGGTTGCTCGCCTGCGAATGCTCATCCCCAATCTGGTCTCGTTTCACTGCATCGCGCACAGGTGCGTTTGTGTTTTAATGTGTCACACTCTGTATTGTTTAACCCTTTGTTTGTTTTAACAATCACTAACCCATTTGTGTGTTTCTGTTTGGCAGGGAGGCGTTGGCTGCCAAGGCCGCGGCGGAGCAGATACCAACGTTCAACATGGTGGACGATGTCATCCGCGCCGTCGCAGAGTACCTCGGGCGATCGTCACCGTGGCATCAGCGCTTCATGGAGCTGCAGGAGGTGTTCACCTCCACCAACCTCGAGGTCCAAGGCATACATGACGTGCGGTGGCTTTCACGAGGAGCTGCAGTCACCCGGTTCGTCCACGTCCTTCCAGCGATCATGGTGATGCTGTCGGAGTGGAAGGACAAGACCATGTACGAAATCGTCACGTCGTACAGGTTCCAGTTCCTCATCAGGTTCCTCGCGGACCTACTGGAGCAGCTCAACGTGCTCTCCTCCGTTTTCCAGAAGCGGGAGGTAAGTTCCCTACTACGTGTTTCATGTTTTGGTTGTCGTCCGCTTTGTACTAATTTTTTTTGAATGGGTTTGTTGCAGCTCGACTACGCGCAGGTGCACACGCAGATTGTGCGCACGACATCGATCTTGGAGAGCCGTTACGTCGACTGTGGTGACGACTTCGGGGGAGGGCCAACCGAGAGGCTGTACCGCTTCATCGAGAAGCACGGACCGCGTGGTTCACCAGAAATGGTGATCGAGGGAGCTTCGTCCGATGGCAGTCTCAACCGCTTCAAGGTGACGCTTCACGAGCGCACCAACCCGAACTATCGTGGGCCCGGCCACCACGACGCGTGCGTGGCGCTCTGCACCGACATGGCCGAGCATGTCGTCGAGAACCTCCAGTCCAAGCTTGGCGACCTTGAGTCTCTTTCTGGAGTGAGGCTGTTTATCCCTGACTTGTGGCAGCCGCAATGGGACCGGGACGCGCGGCAGGCACAGTGCCTGGAGTGGCTCTTGTCGCTTGTCACGTTGTTCCGCGCAGATGAAGCCGACGAGATCCTACCAGGTTAGTTTGAAGTGCCACCCGGTTCCCCCTCTCTCACGGCTTTTATACTAACCGTTGCCTCTTATACCTTGCAGGCATTGACAAGAAGAAGGCCATGAGGGAGCTTCGCACGCTGTGTCCACTTCTTGCCAGAGCGCCGAAGAGTGAGCGTAAGTTCCACACGGGACTTACCGCCATTCTCAGGACACCCGATTGGCAGCAGGCGTACCCCAACCTCGTCGGACTCTGGGTGGCGATTGCAGTGCTGCCTCTCAGCACGGTCGAGTGTGAGCGAGGCTTTTCCCGACAGAACCTGATCAAGACGTGGCAGAGGGGCAGCATCAAGGATTGTAGGCTGAGCGATCTGCTTTGCATCTCACTGCTAGACTATGAGTTAGACGTCCCAGGCGTAGTCGAGATTTGGCGCGCTTACAAGAAGCGCCGGCCGTTCACAGCACCTGCATCAAGGCACAGGGAGGAGCCCCCAAGGGCTGGGAAGGAGCATGTAGATGAGCCAGTAGTGGAATGTGATCTTGTAGATTCTATGACAGACTAATGCAGACATGTAACAATTGCTAGTTGGTGGTGTTCTCAAACAAGAGTAAAATTCGAGTGCTAGTCTGTAACATCAGCGTTGAAAAGTTTGTGGAGTCTGAACTTTCAGACTTTAGAATTTGGTCAACTCTGACAGCCAGACTAGGAAGAGGGGTGTACTCTGAGGCCTCAGACTAGCTCAAAACGAATCTAGGGGCCTGGCCCTTAGGATCTTTGCAAGGCTAAACTCTGGGTAGGACTGGTTGTAAATGCGGAAGCGTATAATGATAAGTCTTGAACCACCTTGCGCTGGTATGTGAGGGCAAAGTAGATTAATTGATCAAAGAGATACAAGGCTTTTATAAGAGTACAAGGAATATGAAAAGATGCAACTAATAACTGTTTTACTGTTTGCTGTTGCGGTTCGATACAGTGACGACTCGGGCAACTGCTCAATAGTGAGTCAGTTTTTTGTCCTTGCTGTCGCGCTGTACTTGTCAGGTCAAAGGTCGCTGACCTTTGACTTTCGCGTAACCTCCAGCGGTTTCTTCACTTCTCAACCTCCAAGTGTTGACTCGCCGATGCTTCGCTGTGCTTTGCCTCGTTTACGACTTTAGTGTTTCGACACACAACAGAAGCGTTCAAATTACTTGTTTCCAACAAACCCTACACCCGTAATACCGCCATCCAACAAAGTGTTCACCCTAACATTTTCAGATGTTTTTGAAAGTCCCCTCATGGTCTTTTGCCGGGAAAATACGGGTAACGTACCGTAGCTGTTCTGAATCAGAATATGGAGAACAGTGTAAAGCTGACACTGTCATGCTTACAAATAAGACCTATAACTAGCCCGTTCTAGATCAACAGATCACACCAGATGTTCTGTCGGCCTACACCGACCATGGCCTGTCTTGCCTCTTCATCCATGCTCCTTCCACTAGCCTCCCCTCTTGTTCCCCTGCCAGCCCAAGCGTGTGAGCAGCTCGTCACGGTCAATGGTGCTGCCATCACGCAGGTCAAGAGACTCCAACCGCGTTAGCGCCGTGAGGTGCTGTAGCCCGTACTCCCCCACCGCCGTATGATACACACTCAGCACCTCCAGCCCAGTGAGCCGACCCACATGCACCATGCCGGCGTCTGTGACCCCAGGCGGCAGTACGAGTGATATAAGGTCGGTGAGCGAGGTGAGGTGCTGCAAGCCTTCGTTTGTCACGCGGGTGTTGGGGAGAGAGAGGGCCCGCAGGCTGGTGAGGCGTCCCACATGCAGCATGCCAGCAGAGGTGACGCCAAGGCAGTCACACAGCGACAGCCTCTGCAGGGATGGCAGCGCGAGCAAGTGCTGCAGGCCGGCATCAGTGACCCCATGCGGCGCGGTGAGCGAGCTGAGGTGGCGCAGGCACGTCAGCAGCGGCAGCACTTCATTTCCCATGCCACAGCCGCCCAGGGATAGATCTTCTAGTCCAGTCAACCGGGCCACGTGCAGCATGAGAGCTGGGGTGAGGTTGTAACAGCACCCCAGGGAGAGGTCTGAGAGTGAGGTGAGCGCAGTCAGGGGCTCCAAATCGCCGTCGCCCACACTTGTGTTCTCCAATACGAGCGAGTCGAGACCGCTCGCTGCACCGATGCCTTCCAGAGATACTGCCCCATCGCCCCCGCCGCCCACTGGTGTGCTGTAGAGAACGAGGCAGGAGAGGCTTGGGAGGGTGTAGAGCTGCTGAAGGCCATGTGTGGTGAAGCCGGAGGAGTTGGAGAGGTCGAGGGTGGAGAGGCGGGTCATGCCGGCCACGTGTGCCAGCACTGCGTCTGTCAGCGATGCCTCCCCGCACAGCTCTAGCTCCGCCTCCTGCGATGCTGCCAGGATCTTCTGCAGTGAGGGAGTGTGCGGAGAGGGATGTGCGGAGAGGGAGTGTGGGTAGAGGGAGTGGAAGCTTCGCCCGAGAGTAACAAGGAGCATGTCACAGACTATGCATGTGCCAAAGAGGTTGATGCACACATGTATAGTGCAAAGCTGGACTAACAGACAGAAGCAGCCAGCATGACCACTCACGTGCCACATCTCGCGGCTCTCGTCCTCTTCGCTGCCAATCACTCCCTTCACCGCCGCCAGCTCTCTCTTCATCTCCTCCACCTCGCCCGTCACCCGCTGCATGTCCCTCCTCTGCTCTTCCGCCTCCTCCCGCACGAATCTGACCTCCAGCAGCAGCGCTGTCAGCTCGCTCCTCACTTCCTGCAGCGCCCTCATTGCTGCTTCGCCCGCTGCGCACGCTTCCTCGCGCGCACGCTTCCCCATTGCTGCCATGCCCTTCTTGCTGCTTTTAGGTCCCCGTGGGTGCTCGTGCTCACGTAAGGGCAGTGCCAGGTGGTAGAGGTGTTGGTACTGGTAAGGGCGAGATGAGAAAAGGGGGCGGTGGGAAGTACAGAGGGCGAGGGGAGAAGAAGCTACTGGTACGCGTTTGGAGGCGAGGGGAAGGGGGAAGCAGTCGTGCACAGCAAGCACAGATCATGCCGCAAAGCGGTCTATAACGAGACAAGGCTGCGCAACAGTGAGAATAGGTCGAGTTGGGGACGAGAAAGGCCGTGTACGGTGAAGTGAGGTGCGGAGAGGTATGAAGAAAATGGAGTGTGACGCAAAGGAGGACCAGTCTGTGCTCATCGACGGCGACACACATGCAGCGTACGGCAAGCGCCTCGCACATCAATCGCTACAAGCACCTCATTCGCTAAAAGCACCTCATTCGCTAAAAGCACCTCAGTCGCTAAAAGCATCTCATTCGCTACAAGCACCTCATTCGCTACAAGGACTAAAAAGGAGGCGGGAGTAGTGATAAGACGGAAACACGGAGTGGCGGCTTGGCGGGAGCGAGCAGGAGGAACAACACGCAATGTTGCGTTTTTTGTCGTCGTTTTTGTACACGTTTTTCGACAATCCCGCAGTTTTTTGGCAGTAAAACCTTCGAGGACCTTTTTTGGCCATTTGCCCTTTCCGCGATGTAGTACGCGCGCAGCAGGGTGTGCACGCAACGAATGCAACGGGCAAGCGATGTGAAATGCAGCGATACGGTTCAGAATGCACGCCGCAAGTGTGTGGGTGAGCGTCGTGCGTGGCTGCAAAGCGACTGAGCTGCGGTCACGGCCGTACCTAGTATGAGCTTAACTCGAGCTTTCGTACCAAACGAGACGCCTAGACTCAAATATTTTGAAAATAAATTGACGGCGGCTGAGGTTCGGCAGTGCAGCGGGTCCGAGGCGACTCGCGTGGATAATGCGCTGAATGATATGTTGAACACCAATTTATGCGGCGGCACCGTGGAGGCTTCAAGAGGTCTGTAAAAGTTCACTCGACAGTCCCCTGCCAGTGTGCGGCGGGCTGATGCGATGCGTGTGGTTGTGCGTTGCGTCGACGAAGCGGCTTCAGCGCTGCGATGGCGTGAAGGGGCGGTTGTAATGTAACCCACGAAAGCGAGTACCTTTGGAGAGGAACCAGAGGGATTATGGGGCAGTGAGAGTGACGAATGTGGTGGAATTTGGGAGAACGATCAGAGCCCTTGCTCTGTTGCAAGCAAGCGTTTGGCGGTGATTGGCAAGAAGAGGCAGTGGGCGAGACTTGGTGAGGTACGATTTGGTGAAGTAGGGTGCGATACGGACGGCACGAGGCCTGACGAAATTGTCTGGTTACTCGAATAGGCGCATTCAGCGAAGTCACAAGCTGCCTGCGTTAGAAAGAGTAGCGTTAGCTAATGTTTGCAACTGCAGTTGTACATCAATATGTCTACTTTAATAGTCCTCCCCACCGTCTCCCTAAGATACCTCAGTCTTCTGGCTTATATATCAGCAAGATATTTACTAGGATAACTACTTTCAGTCCTAAAAAAGATTGGCCATACCGGGAATGTTCCAGGTGGCAATAGCAGCACCATAGAGTGGTTCAAATACACAGGTTTATTAGCAGCAGTAGATTTATGTTTACGAGAAAGTTCTCGCCCTCGCTTGGGCGAAATCAGCGTTGCTGTTACAGTGCGCAATGTGTGCAGCTGACGGGGTTTCGTGGTCGATGGGAAATTCAGGGTACCTCTATGTAGGGCTAACGAAGCGTCAGATGAAAGTATGTAAGGTCGACGAAGCGCCCGCCGACGAGGTTGATAAGTCGACGGCGGCGAGTCTCCTTGTCAGCGAAAGGAACTTTCCCTATCGGCCTATCAGGTCGATTAAGCTAGACCCTCGAGGAAGTGCCAACAGACGCAATTAGCGTTGGCGGTGGCGACGACCGAGCGGCGTCATTTTAGTCTGTGAGAACCAGGTAAAACAGGAATGTCGAGGTTGACAAGGAAGGGGAGTACAAGGAGCAAACCTAAAAGGGTTGTACCCCCTAAAGCTAGCATCATTTATAGCCTATCAGAATAAAATACACATACAAATATGTTTGACACACCCTCATAGGCTAGGTGAGGGATAGCAATACCAACAAAGGGTCACAAGGCCAGTCGAGAGAAGAAGCAAAGCAAAGCAAAGCTCAGGGTGGATCTCAAGATCACCACACATTCTGAGCACAAGCAAGCGGCCACAAGGCCAGTTCACATGCAGTTTGATAATAACACAAGTAGTACAATGATGACAACCTAGCAACATGAAGCATGTAGGTTATATATCAAAGTACAAAGCAAGATCAAGAGACAAGCAGGTGAGGCAGAGTGGGCACAAGCCCATGACAGTGCGGAAACCCTGATGATCACTAGACCCAAGGGCATCGGTGAAGACATCAACAGTGTTGGCCTGTGTGGCCACGTAAGCAAGACGAAGCTGGCCACGCTGCTGTAGCTCTCGCGAGAGGAAGTAACGCAGAGCAATGTGCTTCGTTCAGTGCTCCAGTCTCTGGTCCTGACACAAGGCAATCATGGCCTTGTTGACAACGTACAAAACTGGAGGAGAACGAGGCCGCTCACCCAAGTCGGTCAGCAGGTAGGTCAGCCAGCGGAGCTCCTGTGCAGCCATAGCCCCAGCGTAGATCTCGGCCTCACAGCTGGAACTAAGTACAGAAGAAGAGTGGGTGGACCTCCACGAGACAGAACCAGTGCCAAGGCTGAAACTGTACCCCTGTGTCGACCGGTGAGTAGTCTGGTCATCAGCCCAAGAAGCGTCAGAGTGACCAGCAAGAACAACTGAACCCCGTCCTCCAAGCACAAGCCCCATGCCCGATGTACTGCACACGTAACGCAATACCCTCTTCGCAACTTCCCAGTGCACCTTTCGGTGTCTACCGGGAGCCACGTAGCGAGCCAGGAGGCTGAGAGGGTACCCGAGGTCAGGTCGTGTGCACGTCATCAGGTACATGAGGCAACCCACAAGCTCTGGGTACGGACCACTCGGCTCTACGGACTCGTTCGAAGGTGGAGCTGAGAGAGACAGAGGAGTGGGCTGTGGCGAGGAGAACTATAAGCCGAAGCGCTGAAGGACCTGCTGCACTATGTAAGATTGAGTAAGGGTGACGGTGCGGCGTGCCTTGTCCCGGGTGATCTGCAAGCCAAGATAGCTCCGCAGCTCACCCAGGTCAGTGCAGGTGTGTCTCTCCTGCAGCTCCGCCTTCACTAAGGCCAGAGCCTCAGTGTCAGCTGTAGCAAAAACCAAGTCGTCAACGTAAACGGGAATGTAGAGTGGCGGCAGAGAAGTGTCGGTGTGCAAAAACAGCGAAGGGTCAGCAGTCGAGGGAGCGAAGCCAAGAGCCGCAAGTATAGTCCTCAGTGTGTCATGCCACTCACGGGGCGCTTGTCGTAGGCCGTAGACTGGTCGCGGTAGACTCCACTGGGTACCCTCAGGAAACGACCCAGTGAAGCCACGTGGGTGGCGCAACCAGATAGCATCGTGTAGGCTGCCCTGTAGGAAGGCTGTTAAGAAGTTGAGGGATTGTAGCTCGTAGTCACGCTGTGCTACAACGTGCAGTAACACCCAAAGAGTGGTCATCTTTGGGGTGGGGGAGAAGGACTGGAAGAAGTTGACCCTCTGTCGCTGATTGAAGCCTCATGCAACGTAACGCGCCTTGAAGACAGGCGGAGAACCCGGCGGCCGCTTCACCATAAAAATCCACATGCCATCGACTATGTTCGCCCCAGGTGGGGGAACCTCGTCGACGTAGGTGCCTGTTGACTCCAGGAAGCCATCTCTGCATCCATGGCTATCTGCCACTAAGAGGAGTACGGACCCGTGATCGCCTCTGCATAAGTGCGCGGGGTGGGGATGTCAAGTGCATCCGGGTCTCCCTCATGGCAAAGTAACGTGGACGCGAGATGAGGTGCAGCGGCCGCTAGGCACTCCAGCTCAAACTGCCTGTCCTCAAGAATGTCACAGCCAAGGGCAAGCTCACCCACGACGGACGGAGGACAAAAATAGTAAATAATGAGACTCACTGCGTAGTCAAGGCAGCACAAAGCAACAAAGTCAACAAGCTCAGCAACTAAGGTAGACGCAGCAGCAGACTCAATGGAAGGGTCAGTCACGACCGTGGTAAGGAGACGACTGACACTCGGATTGGCAGTACGGACAAGGTCTGACTCAGGGTCAGGAACCTGAGGAAGAGAAGAGGCATGAGGAGATGGCAGGGCAACACGATGTGGAACAGAGGAAGGACGAAGTGCCATGATGTGTGTGCCAAGGACAAGTGGAGAACGAGGACGCACAACACGGCGAGAACAGACAGGCGTGACAGGACGCGACGCAGGCTATCTACGCTCAGTGATTGACTCTGTCACCACAGTGTCAGGAGCAGGAGCAAGCAGTGGGGAGCCAGGCAGTAGCTGTGGCTGAGACTGGACAGTCGGTGGGAACAGTAACGGAGGAGTAGAACCAGCATCTGGGAACTCAGTAGCAGCAGGCGAGAGACTGAGAAGGTGACAAAGCGCAGACTGCTGCGGCTGAGTAGTCGCACCCCCAGAACCTCCAGCTCCAGTAGCAACAGCACCCCCAGAACCACCAGCTCCAGTAGTCGACCAAATTGGTCAACGACATCTTTCATGTCCACGAGGATTGCCTTGGATGGTTTTGGCGAATGTGGACTTGCGAAAATGACGTCACACGCTTTACAACCCAGCACCTATGCAATGTGTGACACGTGCACACAGTCCTGCACCTACAACCCATCACCTGTTGCTGTGTTCACAACCGCCTTGTTACTGCAATGGCAAATCGTCTTGTGTGCTATACTGGCAAGTCGCCCTCATAGGTAGGTGCAATGTGAACCTTTGTGCAGGGTGGTGAAGCTGCATGCTGGTAGTAGCATAGGAATTTGCCAATGAAACTAATGAATGAAACTCATCGTTGTTGATTCCTACTTATGAATCTCATATTAATTATCCTACGAGCACAACAAACACGCACGAGCATACACAA